TTCAAAAACAAGGAACAAATCTATTTTTTTTTAATTTACATAAGAATATATTTTATTTTTAAAACTTATATTGTAATACTTTTTCTATATGCAATGTAATACAATATATTTATTTAAACAACATATTATACTTTGTATTAATTTTAAATGCACATCAAGTCATAAGTCAAGTGCATATAGTCATACCTATAAATCAACCAATTACTTGTTATTGAAGTATTATTTTCCGTAATTACATATTCATATTATTTTGTATTACTTCATTTACATAATATGTTCGACAACATCATATAGTGATTACAATTCCTTATCAATAAACACGTGATTTTAAAATGTTTACACGAACGGCGCCGCCCGGCGCTTTCATTGATAAAATAAAGTTCTGGTGGTCTATTCTGTTAAAAGTTATTAAAAACTTGAAATTTAAGTCTTAATATATTCATTTATTTTCTTCAGTAAAAAATGGTCTGTGAATATTTCGTCACTACCAAATGGCGGATATTTTAATTAAAATTAAAATACATAGGTGCAATATGCTGGTAATTGCGAAACTAAAATTATTATTATAATAATTATTTTTTAAATATGTCAATCAAAAGAAATGTAAATATATCATATTTACATTACCATCTACCATATCATATTACTTTTGAGATTTAAAAATAAATCATATTTATTTGTCTTAATTTAAATGCACCTGCTAGTCAACTTGATATACATATGTAGTATCTCATTTGACAAAAGAGACACTATTAACAATTGTAGTCAACAAATTCAAACAGTATGAATATATACGTTTCATTGTTAAATTTTAGCAACATTATTTAAACTAAAAAACACCGAAGAATAATTTTATTTCCTTATGAGTCCCGAAATACTTAAAACAGGTTATACAATAATTATACTTTATTAATTCTTAGTCAAGTATTATTGTAAGTTTATATTCTATGCTATTTATATTTACATATTAAACAGTGATATTCTTGGAAATAGTAGTTTTATAAAAAAATCTCATTTAATTATATTTTTGTATACTCCATGGTTAGAGATTACGTAAAGAGTTCCTTTTTTTGTGGTACCAAATTGCTAGTGTCTGAAAGATATTTCGACGGCCTCGGTGGTTAGCACACCGCCTTAATTCCGATGGTCGCGGTTTCGATACCTCGCACGGTACAAGCATTTGTATTCATGAGTTTGTATACACTATTAATAATGATTGTTTGTCTCGGTAGAAAATACCCAGTTTCTATGTATAATATGTATATTTACAAAAAAAATATATATCTATGTATTATATTTGTATCAGTTATCTCGTTATTTTTACTTTACTCTATCTATTATCTACACTTGTTGTATTACGAATCCGTATATAGAATAAATAATAATAGAGAATAGACTGTATATTTTGAAAAGAAAATAGTTATAATAAAAGTAATGACAAATTCGATTGCACCTATAAAGAACGTCTTCCACAATCCGAACACCCCAAAATAAGCAAAGTAACACCAAACTTACTCACTTTTACTCAGGAACGTCTCGATGTGTAGTATAGTTTAGTGGCCACGCACTAAAGCGTATATTTTAATAAAAATAATTATATCAAATAAATCAGAATTCTCTTATTTTTAAATAGTTAAAATACGGAGCGTTGCGTCATTTTTATTCCAGTTCTTATTTTAAATTGACTTTCTTTATTCAAAATTTAAGTGGTTACATGTTTTTATTTGTGGCCAGTATTACCAAGCTCCCTTTGCTCCAGTAAGCAAGCCGGTGATACAACTTACTTAAACTTAGGATGTTCGGAATACGGAACAAGACTATACCTATTTTTTTGCAAATAATCTGTGCCTAATTATATTTTAGTCTGTATCCCATCTGGAGTTTCAAAAACTATTATATTGTTTGAAACACTGTTTAACTAAAAACTTCAATAATTTCCCGTTTATATTATGTAAGATGAGGTAGCATAGTGCATTATATTATAAACAATATTTCTAGTACAAATCTATGAAAAAAGAAATTGTTTTTTTTTTCGTTGTTAATAATATTTTAAATCGTGATAGTGAATATAATTCTAATAATATTGGTAGTCAAAGTGTACTTGTATTTTGCGTTCATTATTTTTTTATAGTTGCTACATATACCTAATAGAAATAATATTTAAGATATGCCTTTCATTGATCTTTAGATGTTTATTTAACACTAATGATAACGTATCTGCTTATTAAGTATAGGCCTATCTAAATTTATTTTCATGGTTTAGTTATACAAATATGGCAGCTGAAAACAAATACTTCTAATCTTGATATAAAACGTAACAAAAATTGCGTAATAAGTGAATAATACATACATAAACACTTATCTCTTTATATATTATACATATATCTACACGTGTATATATTAAGTGAAAGCTCCTTGCAAGGATAGGTTGAGATAAAAAATAATAACATAAAATTTAACTGTTTCATAGTCGCACGTTGTAATCATTAGAAATATTGAGTCGTAAGTACGAAATATCATCCTCGATTCCACGCTTTAATGCACTTGGAAGATTTCCAGAACATTTTGTAACATCTGTGTCCAGGCTCAACCAGTTGCATATTTAAAATGGAATTAGATGAAGGAAAGAAAGAATGAATAATTTTCCTTATTTACTAAATTATAGTAATGAAGATTAGAAAATATGGGATTTATCTCTTTAAAGTATGATCATTAGAATTTTGTTTTTAAAGTAAATAAACCAATGTATTATATATAATATAATTATATTATATGTACCAATTAAGAAATAAATTATGTGAATGTAATTTATTCTTGTTTTTTATATAAGTAATTAGTTAATTTCCACTAATACATGTCAACTACCTAGATAATACTATACACTGGGTTCGATGATTAAGTTAATTACACATTTATATTATTGACTGGTGGTTGCTACTTTGAAATAATAAATATCGTACGTGACATTAGGTGTAATTTCTATCGTTGCCAATAATGTAAAGTCCAAGGATGAGTAATAAATAACATTCGCTGGATCATCATATTTTATTGTATATTGTTCGATTCTATTTTTATTTTCTATGTAACAAGAATGATAATTAAGTTGAGGGCCCTTATGATGAAATGTAATAAGCTTTGTTTTCATTCATAAACATTACGCGTTTCAATTCCTGAGGTCAAAACGTCATACTTCCATACCCTGAAACTTAAGTGCATATGTTTACTCACGAATGGTTAGTTATTCTTCCAACCAACACAATAATCATCTCAAATAATCAAGTAAAAATATCATTAAGAACATAACTTATTTTATATTGAAATATCTATAGCTGTTAATCGAAACGAATCACACACTTTCATTATAAAAGTAATATATAAAACAGTATGATTATTTTTTAACTTTGATATGCTGTTTTATATTAGGTAAAGGTGTTAATCGGCAATTTCGAGTGCAGCTTATAGGTTTGTTATATCAAGGCTCTTCAAATGGCCACAAGTCGTCGACCCGGCGTCGTCACCTTGCGTCGCGCCAACTTACGCAATTTGTCAATCTTATCATTGGCATGCTCATCCGTAAGGCCTCAGAACCCTAAACTCGAACTATAAACGACTTCTTTGGTTATAATTGCGTTATCCTAAAGAGATAAATAATCCAAGTATAAATAAAAAGTCAAATTGAAAATTTATTCTTATAAAAAAATTAAACGAAAGCATACGTTGTACTTTAGATTTTAAAGGCCCTTTATATAAGATAACAAGTTTTTTTTTATTGACGGAGTTGTATATCCTTATATGTAAGAAATGTTTTATAATTATAAATAAGACTAAATGTTTTATCATTTTTATTCATATACCTTGACAAATAACTCAAAATAACTTCAAATGCCTATATCAATGTAACAGTTTACTATTATTTTCATCCCAATAGAAAACTGCGAAATCTTCCATATGTACCCTATAAAAATATATTTCTTTATTTCTGATTATTAGGTACGTCGTTGTCAGTTACTCTTTCAGTGCCACTTTGTAATAGATTTTTATCGGCTATGACAGTCACAAAATATATTCCTTTGTGATTCTGGACACGCTCTGCCTAACGTAAGTTGCTTGCTAAATTAGATAAATAACTGCTTAATTTATATACTTCTGTAATAGTTCATATTTTAAATACTAAAAATAGCAATATGTGATAAAAAATACTCATAATTATGATGAGCGATATAGATGATCGTTAATAATTCAATCTCTACTAGCTAATTGAAATATTACTTTGCGTATATATCTTCACAAAAAATCGGAATAGTGTATATTTGATGATGTAGATTCATTTAAAATGAATACAAATGAAAAGCAATTTTAAACTAACCAAAAGTAAAACTTTAAAATCAATATCGATCTCTACTAATCAGTTTTCAGCATTCTAATTAAGACCACTCGACATCCGCTAAAATATATAGTGAAATAAAGTATTTGAGAATGATTTAAAAATAAATATATATTAAAACTTATATTTTTATATAATTGTAATTATAAATATAAAAATTACTAAAATAATCCATATCTAATATACATAGTTGTAAAAACACGTACACGTATTCGTAGTTTGCTAAGCATGTTTTTACCATAATACTATAACATGAATATTATGAAAATATGAGATTGGTTTTTACGATAACGTATCGTAGTGTATATATCACAATGTGTAGATAATACAGTATTTGTTGTATAAACTAAATTTAACTGAACTATCTCCATTACGCTATCTAATATGCAACCATTGTATTTGTAATATAATCAAAAGTTATTTAAATTCACTACATGCCCAAAATTAGAATGGTCTACGAGAGGGTGCTACGATTTTCGTAGCACACCGACTCGCGGAAAAGTGCCGGAGTGAGGATAGCGGCACCGGTGCGGTGGGACGAGCCTGCGCGCGCGCCACCCCGGTGCGGACCACTATTTATTCGCAAGGCCACGCGAGCGCCGCGCCAGTGCGCAGACGTCGGTCACACGCGATACAATCATATCATTCTCGTCATCGCACTATTGCGATCTACGGTCCGCGCACTAATGTTACGTACAGTTTACGATTAATACATTTTGCTTTTAACACGTAAAAAAAGGACTAAATATGATAACAATGCTTACAAACTCTAAAATATTGTGGGGACTATGGCAAGTGGTGATCTACTGTGCATCGCGTACTTCTTTACCGTTGCTGTTGGCAGCCGGCATCACGTTTCTAGCGGCAAAGCTGGCGGCGTTGCTGCATGACATGCGAAAACTACCACCGGGCCCTTGGGGGCCTCCAGTGGTCGGCTACCTGCCTTTTCTTGGTGTCCGACACAAGACTTTCCTGGAACTTGCTCGCAGTTATGGAGCACTATTTTCTGCACGACTCGGAAATCAACTAACAGTGGTTCTTAGTGACTACAAACTTATCAGAGAAGCTTTTCGTCGCGAAGAATTTACTGGCCGCCCCAGCACCCCATTGATGCATACTTTGGATGGTCTCGGTAAGTCTTTATACATATTTCAAATATCTGATTATCATAATATAAACATAAATAACTTCAGTCACAAAAATAAATTTCGTAACTTTTTTTTATAATTATTAAATGAGGAACATGTAAATTTCACTATAATTTTTTTAACAGTAGTAAAATACTGCTCACTGGCATTATTAAATTTGTTATCATTTACGTATACGTAGGCTCACCTTGTAAATAAAACTTACTTAATTATTGGTGACATGAAAGTATTGTGCACATGGGCATGTGGGCGGCACATAGCTGTCCGGCCCTCCCGCTAGCGTAATATGCACCTCCCACTTAGTCGAGCCCTCACTTAACGCCTCCCTCTGTGCAGGCATCATCAACAGCGAGGGTCGCCTTTGGAAGAATCAACGTCGCTTTTTACATGAAAAACTCCGCGAGTTTGGAATGACTTATATGGGAAACGGCAAGAAGATTATGGAAGGAAGAATCAAGGTTTGTACAGATTTAAAAATGTCTCTTTCTTATACTTGTAAAGTAATGTAATCTAATATTTTTATTATATTTTAACAGAATGAAGTATACGAACTTATCAATAATCTGCATCGATCAGAAGGGTCACCTGTCGATGCAAACCCTCTGCTCGCCTTAGTTGTATCCAATGTTATCTGTGGTATCACTATGTCGGTGAGATTCAGTCACGGAGATGCTCGATTTACGAGGCTCAATTTTCTTATCGAAGAAGGAATGAGGCTTTTTGGAGAAGTGCACTACGGAGAATATATTCCTCTTTACAACGTAAGTTCCGTATATGCAATAATAATAATAATAACTATAAATGTATGTAAAATTTAACAAACAATCTTAACTTTTCGTGGTTTCTTGCAGTATCTTCCTGGAAAAGCTCAAGCAAAGGAGAAAGTTGCTAAAAATCGGGCGGAAATGTTCGAATTTTATCAAACCTTAATTGATGAACACAGAGCAACATTGGATTTAAACAATGCTAGAGATCTTATCGACGTTTACCTTATTGAGATTGAAAAAGCTAAAATCGAAGGAAGGGAAGGCGAATTATTTGAAGGCAGAGATCATGGTAAGTTAAGACTTACGTAATGAACTAAAATATGTATTGTAAAAATTATGTTATTTATTTTATAATAGAATGTATTAACATAAAATGTATGTTTTTTAGAACTGCAAATCAAGCAAATTTTGGGAGATCTATTTTCTGCTGGTATGGAAACAATTAAATCTTCACTACTTTGGATGATTGTATTCATGTTACGCAATCCTCATGTAAAAAAACGTGTACAAGAGGAACTGGACACTGTTATCGGACGTGAACGTCTTCCTACTATAGAAGATATGACCCATTTGCCGTACACCGAAACCACAATTTTAGAGACCCTCCGCATGTCTAGCATCGTACCGTTAGCAACAACTCACTCGCCAACTAAGTATGTTTATATTTTTTACAACATAAATCAAATATTTACAGTTATAATTTTGTGTTCGGTACTAATATTTTATTTTCTTTCACAGAGATGTCAATCTAAATGGCTACAAAATTCCAGCTGGCTCGCAAGTAGTACCACTAATTAACTGCGTACACATGGATCCTAATCTTTGGCACGAACCTAAGCAATTTAACCCTAGTCGATTTATTGACGAAAATGGAAAGATCAAGCGTCCAGAGTTCTTCATGCCATTCGGAGTTGGACGACGTATGTGTCTGGGTGATGTACTAGCGCGCATGGAGATGTTTATGTTCTTTGCTTGTATAATGCATCAGTTCGATGTGCAGCTAGAAGATGGTGATAGACTACCATCTTTAGAAGGCACTGTTGGAGCGACAATAGCACCAAAAGCTTTCCGAGTGAAGTTCATATCGCGCGCTCCACCTATTGCACCGCCGGCTGCGCCCGCACCTGACCACCCACATTTGCGTCACGTTGGTGCGCACTAGGTGCCACTTACTATTTTGTTTTTCTTCTTTTTACATACCCACCAGTATTTTATGATCACTCGTTTTAGAGCGAATCGACACCATTTATTTAAGTATAATATTATTATAAGTGACGACATCGTTTCTACGATGGTCGAGGCTGTGCATAAAGTGTTCAACAATAGTAAACTGAACGAATGTTAAGTTCAGTTCACTTTAGATGTAATGAATATTCCCATCGTTGATATTAATATTGTTTTCGTGCGTTGAAATGTAGATTGCTTTGATCGTAGCCTAAGCGATACAAATCACGCGATAATATTGTTTAAGAATATTAATTACGCTGTTTAAGCTCTAGTACCTATACCAAAATAAATGTATATTCTAGGTCATTATTTATTAATAGCTATCATTGGAAGAATGTATGTTGAGTGTGATCTCATGTTTGTTGAGTTGCAATTTGCAATTCCATTTATAATATCATCTTGTATACACCAATCATGACATGAATAACATTCCGTAGTGTAGCCACTGGAAACTAGTCTTATTAATTTGATTTGAAACTAATCTGATTAAATAATTTATAATACATGTATAGACATCTGAATTGTTTAAATTGTTAGCAACCAAGTTGCAGTGAAGTTCAAATATATTGAAAGTCTGTTCTATTTAAACTCACCGTTATTAAATACCAATACCTATTTACCATGCTTTGTATATAGTGCCCTGTATTTTAAATCTAAGTACCTACTTGAAAATAAAAAATAATGAAATTATTTTAAATGAACTTTTCGTTTAATTTACTTTACATGGAAATTATTCATCATCCATATCCCATATTAAAAGAAAGGACACAAATACGTAAATATATATAATAATTTCAATAACTTCATTTATAATATTCTAATATATACAACAATAGGTATATATTATGATATTGTTGTAAAAATAGTACATACTTTTAAAGTAGTTCAATATTCGCATTGTTGTATTTAGATAATTTATTTGTCAGTCGATGTAAATGAAATACTATTCCAATACCTTCGGCCTACTTTCGCGTGATCTAAATATCCATTACAAACTTTCAAAATTACTATAATATTAGAAAGTTCGAAATTAAATATTCTTGGAGTACACAAAAGATATAATGCATCAGTATAAAAACTTTACTTAAACTTAAACATTTCAAATTCTATTAATAAACAAATAAGAGTCTTTTACTAAGAAATTTTATAGCATTTGAATCTTAGTTCTGTTGTACATAAAATTATATACTGCGTATATATACTTATTAAAGATGTTGAAAGCCCTTATTTGTTTGTTTATCTATTTATTACGTTATTAAAAATACAAGATTACAGCGATGGGGTCAAGCAAATATTCCATTCAGACGAAGTTGGAGGTACAGTTTAAATACCTAATTGTATATATAATAGAGAAAAATAAAGTCTATTATTATATTCATATAAAAACGAAATGCTACAAGCACTGATTAAAGATCTTCACATAAGGATAAAATAAATATATTGTTATCAGTAATGTTACTTCTTATAAAATAAAAATATTCATAATCATTTTATTTTTATACAACAGTAAGTATGTACGTTGAATAATGTTCTCCGTTAATATTTCTAAAATAAAGTATATTTAAAAAAATTACACATTAGACATTGTCACAATAATATTGGACTGTGGGGGGAGTTAAAGTAACTCCCACATTGCCTTTCATCTCCTCAGGAGTTGGAGGCTTGGAAGCTAGTCTCACGCGCTTGCGTCTGAATAACCTGGTCACCAGCCCACATGACAGCATACGAGACAATTCATCTCCTGGACACATACGTTTACCTGAAAATATAACACAAAATATTTTTTATCATTTAATCAAAAATCTTTTTATACTTTGAATTAAAAAATACCCATTTTTAATTCAAAGTATAAAAAGATTTTTCGATTAATAATATTGAAATATTCAACACTAATAACTGACGTTTAATAATTAATAACTAAATAATTGATTCCGTAAAATCTATATATTCTACATTGTACTTCAAAAATTAAAACAATGTAGACAAACGTTAATAAACTTAAAATATGTTTACAAATGTATACACAATTGTTTAATGTACTCGTAGGTAGGTATCTATTAAAATTAAATTATAAATGGATGTGAAATAAAATAAAAGTGTAACCTTTATTATAATGCACTTGAAATTTACTATTTCGAACCAGGGTATCTAAGAAAGAGATCTCTTGCAGACAATACCAAAGTGATACGTAATGGAGACAATTACCGGACAATTGAAGTACTAAAGGTTATCATTATGAGATACTTTATAATCGAAATATACATAGACTAATTCTCTGATATTGCTTTTTATATAAAAGTATTTTATAACAATACCCAATCTTATATATAAAATTCTCGTGTCACAGTTTTCGTTCCCACACTCCTCCGAAACGGCTTGACCGATTCTCATGAAATTTTGTGGTCTGAGAATCGGCCAACATCTATTTTTCATCCCCCTAAATGTTAGGGGTAGTCCACCCCTAATTTTTTTTTTATTTTAAGGCAAAACAACGTTTGCCGGGACATCTAGTTATTTATATAATTTATTATGTCCAAATAATTCTAAAAATACTAAGTGGATATTATACAATCGTAAGCAATCATAACTTTTCATGGCATCGTAAAATGAATAAACAAAATTATGAATTGTAAAAAAAAGACAAAATCGGTTGAGCTCTATCTATATTCGAATTTTGAAATTCGCTTTTTGAAGGTGTGTTCAAAAACTACACTGAATTTTATCCTGATTTATACATTTATTATTTATGCAGGATAAGAAATAATATAAAAAAAAATATTATGATAAAAAGACGTTTTAGGTGTGTAACTTATATTATTATAATATATATACTCATATTTATTATAATTCATATATCACTCTAAATTCATTTATAAATGTTGTGACATATATGTCACCCGCATGGAATCGAAATATAACAAGAAAATAAACGTAAGTAACGTAGCACGTTATAGTAAAAGAGAATACTAATAAAATACTCATACTATAGTGGGTACTAAAACATCAACATGGTATTTCACTTGATGAAAAGTAATAATTATCGTCTGGTCGTGGTGGCATCATGAAATTGCCATAATATTATACGGCGCTCATAATGAGGCCAATCATTTATCACTCTTGACAGATAATAATAATATCACTCACCAAGGTGACATAATCTATCTAGTCATATTTTTATATCACAATGCTGTCAAAGAAGCATACGGCCCACCTGAAGGCAGACTAGAAAATCTGTATATGAGGTAACCTTTAGACAGCGGCAGGATGTTACCAAGCTGACAAACATTTTAGTACATCATTTTTCAAAACTATTTTTGTGGTCCTTAAGTACTATTGTGAATTTGGTAAGTCATAGGAAAACATACGAGCATGTTTATTAGTTTCTAGGACATATATAATAGAATAATAGTTATGTAAGGTGTGCACAATTTTTCTTATCATTGCAGCGATTAACCCAGCAGAATCAGCTGTTCAAAAGGAACCCAGTGTGGTGCTATTCTGGTGTGTATTAACACTCAATCAGATGAAATTCACAAATGTAATCCTAGTTAATGATAAATGACATACAGTAATCTCCATTAAATATATAAATACACTCGCATGCGTATGATTATCGTAATTATTTATATTTATGCATAATCATTGCGTATTGAATGTTTAGAATGTACCTAGTCATGAGATTATATTTAAGCCTCGATAAAAAAAAACCCTCATAATGCAGGTACAGCCTAATATATAATATTATTATTTATACAAAATATAGGGTAAGTAATTAGGATAAAATAATGAACAAAAAAGATAAAAAATACCTGTCTGAAAGGGTATAAATTCTTGTGGTTTTAATAAACTTCCGTCAGGCGCGATGAAACGACTTGGTCGAAACTCCTCAGGGTTTTCCCAAACGTCAGGGTCCATATGCATAGCCCATTGTAATGGTATTACCATGGCTCCTTTAGGAATTTTATAATTCCCCAAAAATGTTTCCTGCGTTTAAAAAGATATATGTATTCATTGAACTAAACTGAATAATATATAGGGCATTTTCGTTTGAATTTCTACGAATTACGATTAAGAACATTAAAAAATGCGCTTGGTAAAATAATTTTAAATATAAATCAACTATTATGAGTAAAGTTCGAGTCAATGATAGCAAATTTATTTTATTAATTCATTAACGATATATTTTACGAACCTCAACACAGCCATGTGGAATGCCAACAGGTACGATAGACCTGATCCTCTGAGTTTCACAGATAGTTGCCATAAGATAAGGCAATCTAGATATATCCACTTCTGCTCCCTCTTCTGGACAATTAGATAAAATTTCTTTACGGATTATTTCCTGTAAATCAGTTAGTTATTATATTACATCTCTTGGGGCAATATTAATTAAAACTTTAATGAGGTTTGGATTGACTGAAAATTTTTAAATTTGAATGTTCGAAGTAACCTAAATACCTACTATTGACTCGATTTTGAAAATTGTAATTATTATTGATGAATATCGCATGGCATGAATATTTATTAATACTATTGCCAATAGACATGAAGCCGCAAAGAAAAATATTGCAAAATCGGCGAAAATGTGATGTTCTGTGCAAATATCATCATATTTTAATATAATATGACAATTTTCATAATACATATATCTACAGTTATAATTATTATTTAGTCTATCTACCTAAAGACAATTTCTATGTCTTTTATCGAAATGTCACTAAGTGCTGATAACATTTCTTTTACTAGGACAGGACTTATTTAGTTTATGTTAAATAGAATAACTTTATCAATAAAATAATATACAGTACAACAGACTACAATAAAGGGCAGGCTTTGATTATCCTGTTTGAAATAAAACTGAGTGATATTTTAATGCATAATCTCACCTGTTCTTCTGGATATAGAGACATATAAAGCAAAAACCACGCTAGAGTAACAGATGTAGTGTCTAGCCCTGCACCAAACATATCGGCCAAAAGAAATAGCAATTGTTCGTCTGTTGCGTAACGTGCAGATTCTTCACCATTTTCAAACCTCCTTTTCTGCTCCTTTAGGAAATTATCCAAAATGCATTCTCCATCGGTTTCTATAAGAATATTTGGGTCAAAGAAATGTTCTTCAGTGTCAGACGCATGTTTGCTGTATTTGATACATTTGATGTATCCATTGGGATGTTCGTCAAATATATGACGATGAAGGGGATACTCAGCGCCCTCGGGGATCTCTAATCCTAGCATTTTGCGTCGCCTTGCTATAATACTGGCATAAAGTCTATGCGTCTGAGCTTGCCCGCGCACAATAATTTTTATAGTCTTCTGAGTTGACGACGAAAAAAATCTATAACAAAATATAAAGTTGCATACATATACTTCATTATTTGACATAATAATTCGTTGTTTGTAAAATAATTATTTCTTGATTCAAATCAGGCGTTAACCTAACAAACAAAAAAAAAAGTTGTATATTAGGTACAGCGTATGTAAGGTATGTAATTCTCTCACCGTACAAAAGGTAAAAAGTTGACGACACCGGCTACACCCATTTCATGACATCCTTCTTCTTGAATCTGACGGCACCAATTCCAAGTTTTGTCGTCAGGAGGAAATTTGTATCCAAATATGATTTCGTTCACAACATTTCCCAATGAGTTTGTGAGCATATGAGGAAGGTCCATTGGTGATCCGGATAATTTTTCAACATTCTACAATATTATATTTTTATAAATTATACAATTACATTATCTCTAAGAACGGATAAGTCAGTATTAAAACAACAGCTGCAGCTGCTAAGATTAATAGCTTTACTTGCCTAGATAAAAAAATGATACCTCATTATTTCATTTATATCTATTGTGAAGTAAAAATTAATCGTTTTGTAGTATTTTAGATTTAATTACGAAAGAAATTTGGGTTATACAATAATGTGAGAATTACATGGCCGATAGCTTTTATATCTACGAAGAAAACCATCATATACATATGTAGTGATTTTACAGACCACAACCAAAAATTTTTATGCCATAAGCAGCCAAAATGTCTACTATTCGCAAAGGTATAGTAATAAAACAGCAGACATCAACATTCAAATTATGCTAATAATGACAGGTAGTAAAACCGCTAGACCGTCGATGTGTTACTTGCGATGGTATTGGGTTCGACTCCTCCCACGATGCAAATATTGTATTCCAGAATATTCATAGACAAATACAAACAAACCATTGTATTAGTCTATGAATATTATGTACATTTTTTTAATGTAATTAAGTATTTTTATCCGTTGTCTAATACCCATAACACAAGCTCCAGTGTCAGAGCTCAACTGAGAGAGGCTCCTAATTTTTGACAGAATGAATTATTACGATACTTGTTCTTTCTAAAAAATATCAAATAACAAGTTTCTTGCTTTCAATTTCCAAAAGTGTACTTGAATTTCAATTGGGATTTAAATAAAGAACCTAAATCGGAAAATAAATCATAACAATCTAAGGATTTCGTTTTATTTTTTCTTCTCGAGTCCGAATTATTGTAGCAATTTGTCAGCGACACCCAAAAATATAATTGGAGGTCTGACGGTATTTATAACTTTTCATTTTTTTGCGTTTTAAACCTCCATGGTTCATTTATAACTTTTATGCATACGAATATTGTTGAAACAGGTTGGTTGTATTTCTTTTTTTAATATGTTTTTGCATGTTTTTGGGTATCATTTATCAGTCTGGGCTTATAATGGTGATATTAAAGAAAGATCCTATATTTATTTTACCTCGAGTAGTTCAAAAACACCAGAAGCGATTCTCTTTTCCAGCTTTTCACGAGTCACGCCGTGCTTGCTCATTCCGAAACTTTTGAGCCATGTTGTAATTAATTTTCTTTGATCCTTCCACAGTCCACCCTCAGCGCATATTATACCTTAAAAATTATCTTGTATTACTTTTGTTTATGAATATAACTTGTACAGTATTGCATTTTACTTTTGGACATGAAAATTTGTCATCAAGATCTTTCATTAATCTACAGGTAGCAATACAGACTTCGAATTTAGTTGCTGTGGATCATCATCATTACATAGTATAAACAAAGTCACTGTCGCTGTCTGTCCGTCCCTATGTATGCTTAAATGTTTAAAACTACTCAACGGATTTTGAAGCTGTTTTTTTTAATAGATAGAGTGATTCAAGAGGAAGGTATACATGTACACCCGGGCGAAGCCGGCACGAGTAGCTAGTAAATAAATATAAGGCATAGCTATACCTACATCTAAACTACTATATAATTTTTAATATGATTTTTCTTTTAGTGCTTTATTATGAACCGCTTTAATAAATTATCGAAAATATTAGTAGGTGTGTAAAAAAAAGTCAAATTTAAATTTGAATTTTTGTTATAATAATGCCACTTTAATTACTATGTGATCTTTATGTGTAATTACTATGAGACCACTTGTAATATTATTTGATAGTGGATATTTACGTAAAAAATCCTTTAACCTATCTGGTCGACATCCACGCAGTTCCCAGCTACGTTCAGTGCAGATATAAAAGTCGACTACTACCAAGTGCATTAGATTCATTTTAAGAAAAAGCAGTCCCTTCTACCTTTGTATTTAATTTCATTTAAACATATTACATGACATGTAATATAATTTTGAATTATTAACTGTTACAAGTTACGATTTAAAATATGTCAGTTTCCATTATTATTACTATATATTGTTTTAAGTACTTACCATTCCCTTGCATGATCCCGTGCGTCAAGTACAGAGGAGCACGACCAGAAAAATTTTCTTTGGCGAAGGCATCTCTTACCAACTTATGATCTGATAACACCACTCCATAAACACTGCCCATGCTAATACCATAGATTGGACCATATTGTTTGGATAACTTTGCTAAAGTTAAATGGGGATGGTACCGATCTATAAACGGTAGGTATCCCAATATAGGTAGACCCCAAGGTCCTGGAGGTAAATATTGCCATTCTTTTATTTTTTTAAAAATCCAATATCCAAATACTACTGTGAATAACCACAATGCAACTAGATCCATTATAAACTAGAACAAAAAAATATTAATTTATATAGCTTAATATACGTATTTTTTATAACCTAATATCAACTTACAAGTGGTTGAATGCTATTCTTAATATACAATGTACAAAAAGTAAACAAAATTATCAAATATATTTCGATTACGGGATATTGTGGACATAGCCGCTAGTTATCTACATATATATATGTATAGAATATTCTTATAATCTAATCACTCATTGTATAATCTACGGTGTTTATAGAAAAGATATCATCTATCCATAATACCTACACTTAATGGCTATCAATGTTACCAACATGAAAACACAAATGAGCAATGACGTAATCGTGACATTCTACGTATCGTATTATAATAGGTTGACGCTTCGGTGAGGTTATTTTGAAGCTAACGTCTTCATTCCATCACAAATAACTTTATACAATAATATTATTTTATTTAATACTTTAAATATAGTTTATTTAGTACACTAACCTGTAATATGTACAGTTCAACTGAAGTTTAGTCCAATTGATCTCGCTCGCGCCACCTAGACGTTTATCAGACCACTTATCACGAGGCCAGACGCTTTCCGACTGTTTAAAATTCGATCCCAGGTATCTTCCTGAATAAAATTTAAAAAGCAAATAATACTATTTGATTTTTAAATTTAGAATTAAAATTTATATTGTACCACTTCAAACGCAGACATATCAAACTTTATAGTAAAATCAAAAAGGAGATGTCCATTGCGTATTTATTTACAGTATTGCTTAATGTAGTAGGTATAGTCCGATTAATAAGATTACCGTCTAGGCGTTGTTCTCAAATCTTTTTGTAATTATTGGCATCTATATGATTTATATTCGAACTAAGTGGAATTACAGATACATTTTAGTTCTTATTTACAATCTACGTAAATGTTATAACGGTAACTTGACCTTTGTGACGGATGAGGTAGTCTTATAATAATACTAAAATCGTATTTTATTAACATATATAATAAATACAGGTTTTTATAAAGCCTGTGGGTGCTTTATAAAAAACCTAAAATTGTATTTATTATAGTTTTATATAAGGCGACATAAAAGCATGTAAAATAAAAAAGAGAAGCTTCGGTTTTTTATTTTGAATTTTCGCTTAGATGAATAAGACCAATTTTAGGATACAACGTGCAAAATATAGCATCGCAAAATTGACCGGTGCAGTGGTGGTTCCATTTACAGTCCAGGTGTGCATTAGCGGCTGCTCGGTTCATCTCAAGAGTACATATGACCTGAGTGCAGTGTGTTGTTCGCTTAACGCTTCAGATATTAAGGCATTGCCACACGTCCTAAGTTTTGACATAATATGTTTTATCAATAGATATAATTTGGATTATATCTGTTCGTCGGTATATCCTAGGTTAATACTGTATATAATAATGTACCATAATATATTAAACAATTTAATTTAAACACGAAACTGTATTTTTGTAATTCTTGTCTGCTCTTGGTTTGAAACTACATTCCAAACTGAAACTAGATTAGACTTATCATAAGAGCCTGTAATAGATCTACTATGTAAATAAACATCAAATCAAATCAAAATAGATTTGATTTAATGTCAATTTATATTATGTGTTTACTATGTATTAAATTATATATAGTTCCTGTTTTTGTCATTGAAATGGCAAACAAGCGGTCAGCTTGTTTGCCATTTCAAACTAGTATAGAGGTATACAGAGGTAGTAGCCCAACTAGTACAGAGGTCGAGGAAGCAAATAAAATATTCTGATGTCCATGTTAAAGATAATACAGAGATATACACATAGAGCTACATATCTATTGTTTTTATATCAACAATAATCTGTTACAATTTCTGATTATAATCATATTAAATGGTATTAGTTTAAGGAAAACGGTCTACAACTCGGAGGGTGTAGTGAGTCATTTAAGTTCAAAACTGTCCTCTACTGGCAAACTTATTTTATGTTTATTCAGCAATTTCATATTCGTACGGATGAATATAAATTTAAAAAAATATGGTTTATTTATTAGGTACGCTGATGTCGTGAACATGGCATAGCTATTCCTATTTTATATAATATTCCAGCTCTTTATATTAATATAATATATTATTTAATTATGACACTGATATTGCATAATTATGCCGAATCAATCTTTAAATGCAAAAGAGACTAGTGGTGTGCGAGACCAACGGACGAGGCCGGGCGAGTCGCGGGCGCAGCGGTGCGCGTGTGAAGGCCGGTCAGCGGCCGCGCAGCTCTTATCGAACCAATCATAACGATCAAGTAGTACCACTTGCAGAGCAAAACCAACGTCGACAGCAATTCAATACCATTTGTTTGAAGATGGACATAGACTAAGCACATTTGCTCCTTCCAAATCCACTTTTGTTCTAATTTTCGTGCTCATCTCCTAATTCTCATAGTTATATTTACTGTAAATAAATAGAAGAGATGTTATTAAAACCGTTTTAAGTAAATTATTTGTTTACTTCTTGTACAAATAATTTAAAACTGGAACTGGTTATTTATTATAAAATATCATTATTGCTAAAGTCATATTGCTCTTTGTCATGTGGTGAGAGAGTAGTAATGTTCTACCACATTCCTCTTCTCGACAAGAATATCATATGATTATACATACATACAAGAATTAGACGCAAAATGCATAAGTATAGAATACATATATAGTATTTTTTACTAATACTTTTACCAAAACTGAATTTGATTCAAATTCGATAAATAATACATTCAAGAATAATAAAGGGCTTTATAGTATTTGTTTTACCTTTTGTTGTATATTCTTTGTTTACCCATTCCAAATGCATATATACGATAAATTTGTATATATTCTTGTCTTCTACTAACTTGAATCAAGGTTTTGTGTGGAGCCGGACTACTCCAATTATTAGTTATTGTAAATATATAACTAATTTAATCATTGGTTTGTCCACGTGCCGATTTATTAATATCTACGCAGTTGCACTCATTAGTTTAATTGAATTGATGAATACAGTTATCTATTATACATATAACCAAATGTTTACTACACTTCATAATGTATAACCACATATTATTACAATGCTTATTGTGTACTACAAATTTTACTAGATAGAAGGGAAGATAGTTTAAACAATACTTGGTCTACACTTCTAGGTCAATCTGCGTATAATTTAAATACTATATCTTATACATATTAAATAAACTAAATTTACTATTAGCTTTATTATTTTCTTAAAAAAAGTAATCAACAGTAAACAAAATATTTTCAATTGAATTAATATACATAATGTAATACGTCCGGCTCAAAATCCTTCCATACAATAATTTTGATAATTACTGAAATATTACTAAATCCCTACTCGTTAAATTTACTTGAGGCCTGATAGTTACTTCAAAAATAATATACAAACATGCTTGTTCAACATTTATACTTATACATAAAAATTATCTATTATGTATTAAATAAATATAAAAAACAGTAAATTGAAGTCAGAACTTATCTATCTCTTTAAATAACTTAATAATAAATCCAGATTAATAGAAATCTCTGAAATCTAATAATAGTATTAATATTTCCTCAAAGTATTATAGTTGAATAAGAAAGATATTGAAGCTACAACGACGATGAAAATAAAATATCTATCTGCATTTCTACCGTGTTCGTACTGGAATCTCTTACGTATTTTTATGAAAAATATAATTTATATTTTTATTTATTCATTCATAATTTTATTGCCGAGAAAACTACTCATCAATCATCATCATTATATATATTAGTTCGGTGGTCAAAATTACATATTTTAATATTAATTGGCATTTAGTCAATTTAGATAAACTTTAGACATTCATAATTTATCTTGGACAATGCTCAATAACATTATAAGATTATTGATTTAAGTGACAAAATATTGTTAATAGTGCTAACATTATTTCATAGTAACACGCATATACTTGTCTGGAGGAAGCCGTGATGATCTCGTTCGCGTCCACTTGGCGCTACATGCTACTGACGCGCGGTCCAGCTTTTTTGCTATTCTCAATTCTCATTCAGCCACCGTACAGTTATCCCGCAGCCAGTGTTACTGACACAATGCAAGGTTAACATGAGGTGGACGCCCGCGCTCAGGCCGTATAGCACTTATAAGGACATTTACGTTATATGAACTCGAATGGATCAAACAGGACGAGCTAAAAACCGAAATCCGTTTACAATCAGTGAAGTCATGAAAATGACTTTTTGCACTCGTGGCGCCATTTCCTAGTTAATTTAAAAATACATTTGAGCAGTTTGCCACTCGTTTATCCTTGTACTAAAAATGGAATTTTCCCTATACTCTGCAGCTTTACTGTATACTAAATAAGTGTTCATTTATATCGGCCTATACAAGTAGCTGCAATACAACTAAGTAAGTCTATTTAAATTAATTTATCTGTACAGACCAATTTGTTATTACAGTTAATATCATACATATATAGATTAAAAAGTAGAGATAGCAAACTGGTTCCACCTCGACGGGATGTTAGTTACATTAAAAGCCCATTGCGGAGTCAATAGCTTCATCGCGTAGCGCCTCACTATGTAGGTGCGGCAACAAATCAATGGAATCATTAACGAGACATTCTTGTCAATGAGTGCAGTGAGCTGTTGCAATCCGGCGAGCCTCTATTCTCTTTTACTTTCGATCGCACATCGACTCGGAAAAAGTCGCCGGCCGACGTCTCCGGTCGTCCACTCCAGCCAGGGCCAGTGAACGAGCTAGATTCTTTTATTTCTTTTTTAGTCCTTACACCCGCGAGTACAGTCTAGAATGCCGGCATCCCGTGTATACGTCTTCCTTCTTTTATTTTTAGTTTGCGCGAAAAAGGTGGTCGACCAGTCGTGGCGACAGGGTCAATGTATCTGAGGATTTTACCCTTAGCCTATGCAGCTGTTGCACAATAGTGCAGAATTCTATGAATTATGAATACAATTATTTTTATCAGTTTATTACAATTTAATGTTACAAAGTAATTAGATAAAAAAATATTGTCTGTTCTTGTTGACTTATACAAACATCGATTATTATATTAAATCACAGCAACATTTCATTTTAAAGATAAACAACTAACTGTAGTTACATTGCTACTATATGTAACAATTCATTATAAAGTTTTTAAAATATAGTATTGTACCTATTTATTATACCTCAATAAAGCCTTAGTGAAAACGTTTGTGATAATTGAATTTTAATACAATTTATATTTATATCAAGTCAATATTTATATTTGAAAACTTTATTTATACATATAATCTTCCCTCTGCTTTCCCCGTGAGAAACGTAATGCGAAAATATGTAGATAGGTTGATTCATAAGTATACTTACTCACCTATAAAGACTACTGTATATTTACAAAATATAATGTTAAGTTATCCTAAAAGGTTGTTTCGAAATAATGTTTGGGTAACAAACATCACGCAACAGAGTATTCGTTTGCGGGCGGGCGGTGAGGGCGCGTAGCGGCCAAGCTCGGCGATGCAGGCGCGCCGCGCCAGTAACTCGCTGTGTGCCGCTCGCGTACTCAGCGGTCCATCGGTGTCCTTGCATTCTTCAAATGAATAGCAGAATGGTACCGGTTCATTGACCCTTGACAATGTGAAGGGACCAAAGCCGTTCTTGAGCTTTAGGCGTGGTGGTTTTACGTAATAACGTCAGAGGGTCGAGATCATTTGATGGTCACCGGCGATATTACTCTTATGTGTTAGAAATCACATGGTTTCTATTATTAGTACCAAAGTGTAAATAATATATGATAGGCATTTGACCTGTAGTTAATCACAGGATTATTCAATATGCCTAACGAGAGAAGCGTTCGCGTCATTGCTTGAATAAATATCCGAGTATTGAGGTCAGATCTGACCCTGTTTATATACTCACGAACTGCTAAGATGCTAAAACAATAAGCTGTAATATTTGAAGAGTAAACTGTACTCACACGTACAAATTTTGCAAGTTATCATTTTAGTCAATATTTTACGACAAACTGTAGGTTTTATTTGACACAAGCGTTCGTGCTACTTTTGTACTTACGTTATTGTGACATTATCTTCACTGCACATAACTTTTTTTAATCCTGTTGCTACGAACCACTTAATTAATTAATAATGACTACATCTATAGTCGTACATATAACAACATTGTAACTGATCGCTGTATGTGCACAAAAGATATATGAGAAAAAATATTATTGTAAGATTTTATCAACATATTTGTTAGAACTTTTGTATGTTTATGCGCGCTAATTACAGAAAATGAGATGTCAAATTTAGGGTGCGGTTTTATACTGTGGTAAGCCTCACTTAATATTTGTTTTTTTTCAAATTCGTCTACAATCATAAAGTTAAACGAGTATGGCAGTATCATAATTATGAAAGAAAGTTTGTTCGTTAAGTCTAGACGCCGTAATGGTTCGTAATAGAATTTAACACATTTATTAACAAGTAGGTTACCTTTTATTTCAGTCACTCAATATAATTGTCCCAATCACGCAGATATAGGTATAGATATAAATAGATGAGATGAGATGTAGATGTAGATAGAAGAGTTTTGTTATATGATATTAATCAGCCAATAAGATTAAAGTAGACGTGTAAATAAGAAAATGTAAAACTACATCAACTGTCAACGACTTCATTGTGGTGAACGATACTTGAAATAATTTACCTAATGTCGGAATAATTATCCCTAAGCATTTTCACCGAATTTGTAGCTACATACTGTATTTTGCACGTTCAATAGTTGATATTATATTAACGGTTAACTAATACTGGGGGAATGGGATCTTTAGTAATGGAAATTCATGAGCCCATTACTAGCAATGTACCGTGTCAGGTTGACCTCCACGCTGTTCCTCCTAGAAACCATTATAATAAATTCCTGGTGAATTTATCACGATGGGCTAACTGACCTGACTTCATGCTCATTTTATCATCCTCCACTGATTTCCGGCCAGAGGAAACATTAGCGAAAGCCATTAAAAAAAATACGCTGTTACTAGAATATATATATTTTCCAAGCGTATTGGATCATATAAGCTCGTTTCACGTACCAACAATATAATGTGGAGGGCGGCGGCGGCGACGCCATGTTTACAAACAAAGAGATCAACGCACGCCAAGTAGGTTACCGCGGCGTGCGCCCGCGACGAGCGCGCTGCTCGCCGATCGACGCCGCTCGTATTGCGCGGGTCGTGGTCTTCAATTGATGGCTCCCGAACTGCAATGGCCGCTTACACTAAAATTGGACAGTGTCCTACTTTTTATTAAGTTGTCTATTTATATCACATTTGATATGGCTATTAATTGATTTAATATGATACACAAATAAAGGTATTTTAAAAGCCGATACTTTTTGAAACTGTACATGAATGTCGACGAAAAAATTGTGGGATCAATACAGAAATAAAAAATAATTACAGGATTGTCTAACAGGTCATGAACGGGTAAATTAAATTTTAAATAATGCATTACTAAACGAAATTAAATGTGATGAAACAATGATTACCTAATTCATTTAAAATTGTCATAGTTAATGACAATTTTAAATGAATCAGGTAATATATAATATATAGTATATAATATATCATATGTCTTGCTATCCTTCTATCTAGTGGAGAGTATATCTAATGCATATGTGGATGCACTTGTATATTTATAAATGATTATCGAATTAACATAATGAAATCGACTGTTCATCTCATACAAAAACGTTAAACTACCATTTAAGGTTTATTTCACTTAATGTACATAAAATATCTTTATTTAATATATCGGCAAATATTAAGTAATTTTGAAAATTTTTAATAGGACAAATAATATGTATAAAAATTATTACATTTTAAAAATATATGAAAGCTTTTAAATGGCAGTATTCAAAATGTACGTTTTGGTCTTGTCTTGTAGACAAGCATTTAAAGTTTTAAATTTACACAGAAGTAATATATAATTTTAAAAATAGGCAATTATAACTTATAATTTTGAAAAATGACATTTTTATTTCTATTTAATCGATGATATATAATACATGTTTTTTTTGGCATTGCACATCGAATGAATAACACATTTTACATAAAACTCTTCCGTTGTCTGTATAAATTAACCATAATGACTCAATAAAATAAGCAAAGGGTAAGTTTGTTAGATCGGGAAGGCGAAAGCAACGCCGAACGAGACAGTGAAATCGAGCCTTCTCACAGCACACCGGAAGAAAGTATCTAACAATTTGCATAGCGTTCGGCGAGCGAAAGATCCCGCGTTGCGCCCGCGCCGGCACTGATGGCCCACATAGACACGTTTTATAGTTTATTGTCGCGGACCCATTTCCGTGGGTGCACGACCACCGCCGGTCGCGGCCCGACACACTTCGCTCACTCCGAAAGTTTCTCCACCGGAGAAACCTACAACGTCTAATAGCACCGACATCCGTCTATGCAGATTTCCAGATCAAGCCTCCACGGACTGTGACCTAAATAAGAACGTTACAAAGCCAATAACACCAGTGAGAGGCTGTTTATTCTGACCGTAACTCGCATCATTCGTTTCTCGTTTATATAGCATATTTAAAATTAAACTCTTATTCTATTGTTGTATAATTAACATAATAATTCTAATGATTAATTGAAAGATATGTCGCTTGTTTATATTATAATAATTATTATGACTTTTATTAATAAGTTACTTATTATAAATTGTTGTTAGTAAACATTATTAGGATAATATAATGCTGATTTATTCCAACTAATTCAATATACAATCGGTAATGTCTCCTTGTGAAATAAAATAAAATAGTGAGAAATTTAATCAGTACCATTAGCACAAAATAAGCAAAACCAATGACAACATCAACTCGATTTCATTACAAATAGTAGACGCCGAGAAAAACTTGCACTAGTGTTACGTTAGAAAGCGTAGACATTTCACCATAAAGCCTAGAAAGTGTATATGGGAAGAAAGTGAAGAAGTAGGGGAAAAATGCATTGCAGTGCATGGCGGTGCGGGAATGCGGTTCTCAAGACAATAGTCACTCCGAATCTAAATTTCCAGTCTGTACTCACTTTTTCTCCAAAGATGAAACTGCAGCGTTCGCTTACACACATTTCTCCGCTCGACTACCTAGTTCTTATATCAATGCACTCATTTTTACTTTCTTTCCGTTCGCTCTTATTCAGTTGTTCAACGCAATTGTGCTCAAGGAATGCTCATTCAGATGTTTCGAATTAAATTCGATATAAACACACTATAATTATACAAAAAATAAAACTATACGTTACTAAATTAATTGTAATATTTATTTAATTATACATGTTATATATAATTAAATATGCCATTTTCGCGGTAACTATTATAATTCGGTAATTTATTTTAAAATAT